AGGTAGTTTAAATGATAGGAATTCAGCCAATTCGAAGTCACAAAAAAAAACCCCCCATCTGGTAGCTTGATTTCCTAGTACAGACAGACCCCATGTATTTTTTTAATTAATTTTATTATTTTATTTATAAATAATGAAATATTATTTTGTATTTTTATAATTTAATTTCTAAAGGAATTTTTGGTAAATAAATAAATAAATATTACAAAATTAAAAAATAGGCAAATATATATATATATATATATATTATTAAAATCAGTTTCAAAAAAAATAAATATTATTAAGTATTTTAATAAAAAAAATATATATATATATAATATTAAAAAAAATTTAAAAAAAAAAAAATATTATTAAATATTTTCAGAATAAAAGAATAAAAAATAATTAATAATAATAATAATAATAATAATAATAATAATAATAATAATAATAAATAATAAATATTAAATATTAAATACAAATAAAAAATACAAGCGCTCACACCCACACACACACATATATATATAATATTAAATTTAAATATTAAATATTCCTAAACATTGTCATTCTCTTCTCTGCTCTAATCTTACGCCTTCGTTGAATCTCCAATATATGTGTCTCACAATATTGTTGATTCTCAAAGCTATAATAAATATCTGTAAGTGGAATTGCACAATTCTATATAACAATAATAATGATAATGTTAATATATTAATTAATTATACACATATTACTATAAATATAAATATACAAAGTAATTAGATGATACATACAATACAGACAAAACAACGAGGATGATACCTCCATCCTTCAACTGTTTGCGCACATGGTCCTTCTATCGGATCATCACATTGTCTGCAGAGTGAATTGTTGAGTTTATGATAATGTCTTTTACAATATGGTGCATTGTTAAATACATAAAACGATTTATCAGGAAATGGTTTATAGCAACTCTAAAAGATAATAAAAATAATTATTAGATTAATATAAATGTTATCTTATTTTTTATAAAAAGAAAAGGAATGATGATTAAAACGATAATATTTACATTTCGATTTTGATTTCGAATTTCGATTTTGATTTTTGAACCTTAATAGTCGAAATTATTGTCGAAACAAAACTATTTCGCCATCATGTATGGACGCGAATTGATTTTTTTTTCTTTGGAAAACAATCTATTGTTTGACAGATGACAAAATGTGAGTGTTGTTGTTTTATTATTCTATTAATTATATATATGTTAAGTAAAATATTGAGTTCTATTATAATTACCAAGAAGATTATTAACAAAATATCTCAAAGATAAAGATTTTGAAAAGCAGCATAAGGACCATACTTTAAAACATACAACATATACAAGGAGAGAAGAGAAAGTTGATAGCAAGTCTATTTAATTATGATTAGTGTTATAGCTATTGTTATTATTTATCATATTTCCAAAGAAAAGATAAGATTTTTCACCTTGTTCCTTTTTCAAAATGCTTCTGATTGCACTGTAATTTGAGATCTTATGTAAATTAGTTTCATATTTATACTTTTATATGGGAATGATCCAATTATCATTTAAGTGTATTTCTGCAAGTAAAATTTATACAAAAAAGAAACACTTATAAAAAGACATTTTTCTCAATCAGACAACAAAGAACCGCATTTGAAGATTCAAGCTTTGTTTACTGAAAAGGTCCTCCAAGGTCGAGTCGATTATCTGAAAAGACCATCCAAAGTATATCAAACTGCGAGTATAGCAGAATAATTCTAATATATAAATTCTGCCAACTGAAATAATGTGTATGGTCTTTTTTGCATGGTAAAAACTTTGTTCAAGATGATAAATAAAACATTTTTTTTTAAATTATGATTGCATTGTAAATTTATTTGGAGTCAAGAGACTTGATTTTTAACAATAACAACAACAATGGGGGATTTATTTTTATTCTTACGTCTATTTAATTCTCTTTTTTTGATAATTAGTATAAAATTTATTATTATTATTATTTAAAAATTATTTTTATTTAATATATATAATTTTAATCTAAAAAAAAAATAATACATACAGTATATATATTTTTTAAGTGGATGATGATGTCACATTATTATTATTGTTGTTGTTGTTATTATTATTATTATTATTATTATTATTTGCATGAATTTTTTGATGACGACGAAGGTTACTAACGACAGAAAAATGACGACCACAACCATCTACTGGACATTTAAATGCTGTAATATATTTTATGTATTTTACCAAAAGTAAAATAAAACAATTAATATAATGATTTCAAATATAAATAAATACATAAACATAGTCAATCAATCAATCAATCTACTTACGCTTTTCACCGGTATGACTATACATATGAGTTTGTAAGGAGCTTGGCCGTGTAAATCTTTTTTGACAAACAGTACATTTATACCTTTTAGGAGTCGAAGAAACAGTTCTTGAACTGAAAGTTGTCATCATTTCTTGAGGTGAAGTAATTTGTCTTGATGGTGATTGTTGCTGTTGTTGTTTGTTATTTGGTGAAATATTGAAACTTGGTGATGGAATGACAGCTATACCATTTGTAAATCGGCCAGTAAAAGTCATTGAAGGATAATCTTGTGGTGTTGGAGGTGTTGTTAAAACAAAACCTGTTGCACCATTCCTATTATCAAAAGTGATTGGTGCTTGATTATAATAATTTATAGGAGCATTGGGAGTCGCAATTGGAGTAGGTACAGAGGTGGCTGCGGTTGTGGCGTTAGTTGTGTTATCGTTTGTAGAAGAAGGTGTAGCAGTAGGTGGTGGTGGTGTAGCAGTAGAAGTGGTGTTAGCAGCAGCAGTTGCTAATTTCATGGAGGAATCGGCTGAGAAGAGAGCAGGATCTAATGAACGTTCATCAAAACCTTTTGGTTGACCAAATGTATATTGTGATGATGATGATGACGATGATGCATTGTTCCATGATTCAGAATTTGCTTCTGTTTTAACACTATTAACATACATACATATATATATATATATATATATATATTGTAATAAAATAAAAAAATTAAGCAAGGATTCTTTTTTTTTTTAAAAAAAAAGAAAAGTAAATAAAGTAATATACTTTATTGTCGATGATGATTGTAAATTAGTGGTATTGGACGTTGAAGAAGGCGTTGTTGTAGAATTATCAGATGTGGCTTTCGCCGATGATTTTGAATTATCATCATGATTTGTTGTGATTTTGGTCGTAGCACCTTGTTCATTATTTGCTGTATTGTTGTTGTTGTTGTTTGACCCGGTAGAAGCAATTGTATCATTATCATCATCATCAATAATATTATTATCACCATTATTATTCATGGAATTTTCAATAATTTGTTGTTGTGAAGAAGTTGAAGAAGTTTCTTGAGAAGTAATAATATTATCAGTCATGATTATTTTATGTATTTATATAATATAAATAAATAATAAATAAATCTTGATTATTTTCGTATTTTTTTTTGTCGATGAAAACTACAAAAAAAATTTTTTTGAATAAAAGAAGAAATCCAATTAGTAAATCTTTATATATAACGTACATGATGATGACGATATGATTTTCGTATAGAAGAAAAGAGACGAACAACAAATTACCTTTTCTTTCTTTCTCCTTCGTTAAAGAAAAAGAATAATTTTAAAGTCTTGCTTAATGAAGAACAATATTTATAAAGAGAAAGAGTAGTAAACTAATATATTTTATGTGAAACCGATCAATTTAAAAATTAATCTTTTTTTGTATTTATTAAGAATAACTTGTACGAAAATAGTAAGTAGAAAGAGGAGTAGGATTGAAATGTGTTTATAAAATTTAATTATTTAAGTACTATCATTAATATGTAAAAGAAAAAAAATTTAACTGATCTCGAGTTTTTAAAAAAGCTATAAAATTGTAAAAAAGAAGTTTTAAAAAAAATTTTTTGAGAAAAATAAAAGTTTTTAATATTATATATAAAATATATTATATTAAGATTAGATCACAAAATGTAAAATATGGAAAGATTGTCAAAAAGTTTATTTATATTTTACCTAATTCAGTTATATAAATTAATCAGGCCAAGATTTTTTAATATTAATTTGTTCATTTAATTTTCCCTTCCCTTTGAATTGATGCATATATAGAAAGATCATCATCACCATTCATTGTCACGCAATATCAATATATATAGTAGTTAATCCGTAGATTATGTAGTTTATAGAATATGATCGCCAAGCCACTTAATTGTCCGGGGAGATACGCATAGATACGTATCATACTAATACTAATACATATCAGTCAAACGATTCGTCACTCAACGATTTTCAAAGTCTTTTGCCGTCGAAATTTTTATTAGCCACAAACCTTAATTTTTAGTTCAGCCATATTTTCCAGAGAAAAATCTTGGTGTTAAAGTTTATCAACCAAATTTGGAAATTAATTATCATTACCACTGATAATCTTGCCCATATTTTTTCCTATTTGTGTACTTCATTCTTTAAACCGAGATTTTTTATTAGTATTAGTATCCACTAAATCGAGATCCGATAAACCGAGATTCACTGTGTATCGATTGATAAATTTATCAATTATTCTTTTGCTTTTTGCCATTTTCAATATACCCATATGAAGAAGGCTTATAATATTTACATCTTCTCAACCACTCATCAATGTTTATAAAGGTAATGTTGGAGAAAATTTTTAGTTTTAAAGTGAAAAGTAATGCTGTTTTTGAATAAATATAGCTTTACATATAGAACCTCTATCAGTATGAGAGAGAGGATTCATTGGAAAACAGTAGATTGATTAATAATGATATAAAAATAAAAATGATTGGTTATACGAATTTGAATTTACAAAAACCAGTGGACATTGCTTAATTTCAGGGGGTCAAAATGTAAATTCACGTGTAACATCACTTCCCGTTTTCCACTAAAAAATAAAATGTAAATCCAAGCTAAAACTTTCAAACGACTATTAAAACAAAAGGCTAGCTTAATATTGGTTATTCTACGACATGCTGAAAGTACTATATTGTAGACCCTGTTAAACCTAGATTTTTTCTGATATTCAGGTTTTTGGGTACTCCATTAATCCAAATATGAAAAAAAGTGATTGCACAAACGCCTTCGGTTCAACGGGGTTGACTATGTATATGTTAAAAGAAGAGAGAATTTTTTTTTTAGAAATGATTTTTGATTAGAGTTTCATTGTTACTTGAACAATATGTTTATTTTTATATAATAAATAAAAGATCAGGACCAAGGTGATGTTTTTTTTCTTATTAATTGAAAAAAAGATTTAGATATATGGAAAAAGGAAAAATAAAAACATAAAAAGTAATGGTTTTGTTTGTTGCTAAGATCATTAATTAATCGGAAAAGTAATAGTTCTTTATTATCAAAGAAATTAATAGTCTTGTTGACCGAAAAAGTAATGGTTTATTGTGTTTGCTAAGATAATTGATCAAAAAAGTAATTTGCTAATATCTCTTTCATTGGTCGAAAAGGTAATAGTTCTTGATGACGATTTTACCTCAGTATAATAGATATAATGACAATAATGCATTTTTTTTTGTCTTTATGACAAAAAAAAGATATACCGTATATTGATTCTTTCTTATTCTTATAAATAATAATAATTATTATTAAATTCATGTTGGTAGTTTCAATATGGAAGAAGATAGCAGAGGAAATCAAGCACAAGTTAAAAGACTAGCAAGAGAAAGAACGGAGGGCTATCGAAGCAGAAAGGTTTTACGACATTGGAAAGAAAATAATTTGATCTGCAATTTAATCTCAACATCAACATGCCATGTTGACTTCTCTCATCCCTTCTCGTTATGATCATATCATGATCATTCATAGAGAGTATATATCACAACGCAACAAACTTAGTGAAACTGCAAATTCCTCTTTATAGATAAAATTACCAAAAAGACATTAAAGATTGAATGTTCCAACGGATTGATTTCGTTGATTTCTTACGTTAAAATTTCATATTTATTTATTATGAGGGAAATTTTATACAAAAAAATTTAAAATTGTTCATTTTCAAATTATACAAGCAAGGAAAATTTTATTAAAATACATAATTAAAAAAATAAAATTTATGCAATTTAAAGCTTGGAAAAATAACTCTATTAATAATAATAATAATAGATTATTGAAGCAAAAAAAAAAATATATATATAATAATCAGCAAAGAATTTTAGTATCTAAATATTATCTAAAAAGTTTTGATTAAATAATTAATTTGCGAATATCTTATCCAAAGGAGATATAATTATAATTAATATTAATATGATAATGAAATTGACATACAGTAATCGCCTAGAAATATTAAAATATTATTAATATTGTCGATAATATATAACAACCATAATTAGTAAACATCATACATAATTAATAAGTTAAAATCACATACCATTTTCAAATAATGCGTTAAAATCTTTAGGTATTGCACCATCTCGTTTATATAAAAGACTTTTGATTTGACATTTTTTGAATGTCAAATAACTATACTTTTGAAAGATTTCATCAGGAAGTTCCCAAGAATCGGTATCAAGTGGGTCTCCATGACATTTAGCTTTGTTGATTAATATTTCACACAACTCGTAAAGATCATACTTTGTACTATGTTGTATCATTCTTGACCTGAGATGTAAACATGGAATCATGTCAATACGTGAGTCATGTTCCATATTTAAATATCGAATCTGCTCCTTCGATAATGGATGTTTTAGTTTTGGTATGATAGGTGTAGTAAGATCTTTGGCTCCTACTTTTTCTGCTAATCTTAAAAGTTGTTGTTTTTCTCTTGTTAATAATGAAAACGAAAAAGGTGAAGATGACGACGGTGGTTGGTCAGTGTTAGCAATTGTATTATTAATAGAGGTAGGTTGGTTGTCGTTGTTGTATGAAGAACAGGATGATGAAGAGGATGACGATGAAGGGGATGATGATGATGATGATGATGATGGTGATGGTGAGGAAGTATTACTGAATGAATTCACTAAATCTTTTGAATTACCGTTGATTGCTTGGATAAATGAATCATCATTAAAACCATAGAATTCGATATTTAATAAATTTGATTCAAAATTATTATTATCATTATTACTATAAATAAAATCCTCGACGAGTTTATCCTCAAGATAATCTAATATCGAACTAATTGAGCTATTGTTGCTATCATTAACAAGAATACTATTATTAGTATCGTTGACATTAAAATTTAAAAATGCATCATTATTATTCACATTGTCGTTATTGTTTATTTGTGGAGGGATATTTATAAAAGATTTATTATAATCTGGAATAACCATATGATCATTTGTAGCAGTTGTAGTCAAATAATCTTGAGGAAGCAAACAAGAATTAGTGGTGGTAGTTGAACATAAATTTCCAAATGAATCAGGTGATAAGATAATTGAAGTATTAGTTCCTGACGGTTTATCATTACATAATATTGTTAGTTTCAAGTATTTTTAATATAATGGAATAATTAATATATTTGGATAAAATCTGTATTTGACGATCTTTGAAAGCACGTGATCGTAAAAATTTTATTGCATTTTTGATTGTAAATTTTTTTCTCAAAATTGTCGTTGTAGCACAAAAAGTTCAGTGACTAAGTGACTTGCACCATACAAAATATAATAATAAGAAAAAAAGGGAAATATTATATAGTCACACAACATAAATTTGAGATCGTCACAAAGTGATAAAAGTGATAAAGAGAAATTCCACCATGCTACTAACAATAATGCACTCAGGATAATGTAAGTATAATATGATAATCAGGGTTTTTCTGATAACGAAGTAGTATTACGATCTGTTACGACCTTTAATTATAGTAATCGTAATAGTAATAGGGCTGACAGCATAATATTATTATAAAATAATATTTTATCACCACAGAAAATCATCGTACGTTCGTACAACGAAATTGCACAACACTGAAATAATAACGTATATAATACTACTACATAATAACAAGGGATTTAAATAAGCATATATATAACATGATAATCAGGTTTTTTCTGATAATGAAATAGTATTACGACCCCAGTTACAATATCTGGTAATCCATTAATTATATAATAGGGTTATCGGCTTAATAATAATATTATTATAGGATTTTACAAAGTAATATTTTGTCATCGCAGAAAATCATCGTACATTCGTACGTACGTACGTACATATGTAAAATTTCCTCGTACAGGTGTACGACCACAACGAAACTGTACGAACTCAATGGTACGAAGTCAGTCGTACGTACGAAGATTCTTCTCGTACAGCGAAATTGCACAACACTGGAACACGTGTTACCAAATTTGGAAAGATTGTGTACAAGAAGTGTGGGTCAAATACCCTATATCAAACCGCGATTTTTATGTAACCCATTACTATCTATATTGATATAGTTTTCGGGTCGTATGTACGAGATTACACTTATCAGGACGGATCGTCGATTTTAATTTTTTGTCTTCATTAATTTTTTTTGTCAACAATCATTCCCAATTCTGTTTTAAAAAAATGCAATATTTTACTGCCTTGTTCTAAATAAAAAAAAGACAAATAAAACAAAATGAGAGTGTCTATGTACAAATATATATTAAGTTTTAAAGGGTAAAAAAGATTAAAATGATAATTAATAATGATAATTAATAATGATAATTAATGACAATGATAATGATAATGATAGTATGATTAGATATCTAGTATTTTTTTTTTATAATACAAAAAAATTACAAAAATTACAAAAAATTTTATCAAAAATTAACACCCATCTTCTATAAAAGAATATATATATAATGGTTAAGTTAAAAAAGTCTATTTTTTAAATATTATATATTATAATCATTATATTGTTGACGAGTTGTGTCGTTGATGATGTTTCGGCCTATTTATTGAATTTTCAAGTGGTGAATTATGTCTCGACAGTGAGTTTATCGATATAACGTCCTTTGACGTAATTGGCATATTATCATTATTATTGTCATCATTGTCGTTGTTGTATTTATTACTACTATTATTACTGTTACCAATAATGTCATTATCATTACTATTACTCCTATTATCATTGTTATTACTAGTATCATTACTAGTAATAGTAGTAGATTCAGTTATATTTGGTGTGTCCGATATGGATGAATTTACATTTGTATACCAAGCATCAGTATTCATAGGTGGAAAAGCAACAGAAGATGGTAAAGCAGCCATTCTAATAAAGGTAGATCTAGGCATTGACGTTCCTGATGAAGAAGCAATATAAGTATTACCACCCATGTATAATATTATATCTCTTATCGTACCATCGAATTCAGGTATAGGGACATGCGGTAGTGAGTATATTGAAGGCGCTGATGGAGTATAAGCAGGTGGTGCACAAGAAATGGTAGGATATCCGAGATTTGATGTTTCTTCAATTAGTATTTCATCATCCAACGTTATCTCATCACTTTCTAATTTATCTACAGATGGTGCAGAGGGTTCTACATTATTGGATAACGATCGCGGGGTGTGGATTTGTATTGCCTGTAAATAATTGATATTATTTTTTTCATTCATCTTTTTCTGAGATAAGCTTATAATATCACCATTTGAAATATTGTCATCATCATCATTATTATTACTATTGTTATTGTTATTACTATTATTACTATTGTTACTATTGTTATTACAACTGCTACTACTACTATCGCTATTATTATTATTATTATTATTATTATTATTATTATTATTATTATTATTACTATTATTATTATTATTATTGTTATTGTTATTATTATTATTACTATTATTATTATTATTATTGTTATTGTTATTATTATTTAACTCATCGTTATCGTTGTCGTTATCGTTATCGTTATAGTTATTATTATTATTTCCAATAGACTTTTCATTTTTCATTAAGATAGGTGAACCAACTTTTTTAACTAATTTTTGTTGTTTACGAACTTTTAAATAGAGAATTCCAATAGCAATTGCAACCAAAAAAAGCGAGACCCCCAATGAACACAATACCACAATAACTCTATGAATAGTCCTTTCTTCTTCCATAAACCTTTCCTCGTTTATTAAATCTTGATGTTTAGCTGGATCATCACTTGGGCTCGCATTTGATTGAAATGTGCTAGAATATAAATCTGACGCATTCATTGAATCATTTCCGTCATCCTTTTTAATAACAGCATTGTGGTGAGTTGTTACTGTATTTGTTACAGTTGTAGTTATTTCTGTTTTTGTTGCAGTTACAATGGTTATAGTTGAAGGATTATCATCTTTTATTTCTATTGTAGCTCTTTTTTTTACAAAATGACTCTGTATTGAAGCCGCCAGAAAAGTATCTAGAGATGAATGTTTGGGTAGAATAGCTACCGATTGTACTGGTAATACTGCGCTTATGGCAATAGTAACCACCACCGTGATGGTTATAATAACGAAGCAACAAAGCTTCATTATTAATATTATATTTATTATTACTGCCAAGGAATAAGAATAAATAAATAAAATAAATAAATGTTGTTGGTGTTGTTGTTGCTATATAAATCTTTATTTTTAGTATAATTATTTATATAGTAAAAATAAATAAATATATTATTGAATTACATACATTTCTTGAAAAAAAAACGGTTTATATATATATATAGATATATGTATGTATATAAAATATTTTTTTCTGAGAAATTCTAATATTTGTATTCGTTAATTTTCTTCCACTTTGATAATAAAAAATATAGATTTAATTTAATTCCAAAAATAAATAATATCGTTCGTTTTAGATTTAATTAAATTAAATTATTAATTATTATTAAAAGAAGCAAGTTTTTTCTTTTTGTCCCTAAAAAATTTTTTTGTAAAAGGTTTTTAACACTTTGTATATTGTATATTTTTTTTATTTATGTTTTCTTTTATTATTAATAGTAGTGCAAAGTACTGTTACATAAATAAATAAATATATAAATATATTAATATAGTAAAAAATGCAATAAACATATCATTGTTTGCACAACATTTTTTAAAATACAAATGGTAAAGATCCAGTGATATGCGAAACATTTAATGTATCTTGCAGATCGAAGAATATAGAATTTACGGTAATACGACATCAATTGAAGCTTAATATTAAAAGTTGTATATAGTTCCAAGATTAGAGCCTGGACCATAGTAATAACGTGAAAAAAACAAACTTTGAATTAATATCAAACCTTTTATGTAGAACATTTTGGCTTAGAAACCATGCCCATTTTGCATAGTAAATATTTTGAGGTATTGTTCTTTAATTTCAACTGCTTGGAATGGTCATTTTCTATTCATCCAGGTCCCATTAATTAAATGCATTGAAAGAAAAACATCTCGATATGATAGGAAGGGTTATCATCCCTTTTCCTCATTTAAATATACTAAATATAAGTTGATTTAAAAATGCAATTCAAGTATTCGATACAGTTCCACAATCCTCTGTGAAACTTAGTTATACGTCAATTGATTTTCCCGTCACCAAACACATCGATCGATGGCCTCAAAAAAATCATCCCAACTCTTTTTCTTGTACTGGTGATACATTAGCATATTAGAGTAAAGTTTTCAACTTGTAAAGTATGTAGCAGATTTAAATTTTACACTGAGGCTGATGATGGATTTGCAGTTATGATTGGACCATGGAGGAGTGCACGACTTGGAAATAGTGTAAATTGTTGAGTGACTGACTATTGTAACCCAAAAGTTCGTAATCTTTTAAGGAAGAATTTTCAAAAAAACTTGTCTTATAGACTTTGCAAAAAAGGGAGTTATTGATCGATCTTACAAAAGAAGTATAATAATAGTGAAATTTATAAATTTGGAAACGGACTTCTTGGTAACCTTGAAAGATTATGAATTTCTTGGATTCAAAAAAAAAATTTTTTTAGATGCTAACAGTCAGTAATGATGAGCTTTAATCCTGGTCGATGAGATATTCGGAATGAAAATGGTATAAACGTAACGAAGAAATATCTGCATAAATAGGCCACAAATTTTTAGAAGGATCAGTTGAATTGATTTTCCTACCAAAGTTATTAGGTCCAGAATGGTATGATGATGATTCCCAATAGCACGGGTTGCTAACATTTATTTTTATTTTTTTTTTTTTTTACTAACTTTAAATGAATCATGTGGGGTTTGTATATACTAGGAAAATCGAGCTATCAAACAAAAAATCTATTTTTGGTGACAACAACAGGACCTCGCGAACTTCATAGATAAGGTCAGTAACAAAAATTACTGTTTGTTATATGATTTGACCCAGACTAAATTTAAGTTTGATATATAATTGACCCTAAAGTTTGCAAAAAAGAGCATAATTTTGCCCCATCATATATACTAACATTAAAAATTTTGAAACTGTCTACTGTAATGAAATTAAATTTTACAAATCAATTGATTTAACTGACCAACTGATTATAATAATTCACTATTTTATAACTTAAAATATTGGTTTTGAAGAAAAAAATTTGTCATGCAAAAATTTTTGGTTCCCTAAATCATTGACTACTAATAGATTTGGCCCTATTAAACCTAACCAACCTTTTGGTGTATAATAATTTGGCCCTAGTTAACGATTGTTATATTTTTTAAAAATTTATATATAAATAATCTGACCCTATTACCGACAAAAATATATGAATTTGACCCAGCTGCGGCAGTAACCTATAACAACCCTTATAAATTTGGTTACACGTATGTTTTTAAGAGAAAATATCTATCATTTGGTTTCAATTTTTTCACCAATTTATAAATTCTTGTGTTGAAAAATTAAAAAAATTAAACGAAATTAAAGCAGCAAAAAAAAATCAATAGAAGAAGTTAAAGCTAAACAAGGGTAACTTCCTTTATTATAATGATTTTTGTTAAATAGAATGAGTTAATAAAGGTAGTTTAAATGATAGGAATTCAGCCAATTCGAAGTCACAAAAAAAAACCCCCCATCTGGTAGCTTGATTTCCTAGTACAGACAGACCCCATGTATTTTTTTAATTAATTTTATTATTTTATTTATAAATAATGAAATATTATTTTGTATTTTTATAATTTAATTTCTAAAGGAATTTTTGGTAAATAAATAAATAAATATTACAAAATTAAAAAATAGGCAAATATATATATATATATATATATTATTAAAATCAGTTTCAAAAAAAATAAATATTATTAAATATTTTCAGAATAAAAGAATAAAAAATAATTAATAATAATAATAATAATAATAATAATAATAATAATAATAATAATAAATAATAAATATTAAATATTAAATACAAATAAAAAATACAAGCGCTCACACCCACACACACACATATATATATAATATTAAATTTAAATATTAAATATTCCTAAACATTGTCATTCTCTTCTCTGCTCTAATCTTACGCCTTCGTTGAATCTCCAATATATGTGTCTCACAATATTGTTGATTCTCAAAGCTATAATAAATATCTGTAAGTGGAATTGCACAATTCTATATAACAATAATAATGATAATGTTAATATATTAATTAATTATACACATATTACTATAAATATAAATATACAAAGTAATTAGATGATACATACAATACAGACAAAACAACGAGGATGATACCTCCATCCTTCAACTGTTTGCGCACATGGTCCTTCTATCGGATCATCACATTGTCTGCAGAGTGAATTGTTGAGTTTATGATAATGTCTTTTACAATATGGTGCATTGTTAAATACATAAAACGATTTATCAGGAAATGGTTTATAGCAACTCTAAAAGATAATAAAAATAATTATTAGATTAATATAAATGTTATCTTATTTTTTATAAAAAGAAAAGGAATGATGATTAAAACGATAATATTTACATGACAATTGAAGCATTCCACATGCCACTTTCCCTGCAATTTACCATCGCTTGCACTAACTGCTTCTTTTTCTACTGATAATCCACATCTACGACATTTTGGTAAAAAATTTTCTGCATAATCTCTTGGGCAATAAACTTTTCCATTTTTTTCAACATGACCTTCATTTGGATCAATTGGTTTTTGACAACTTGTACAAAGTAAATGATGTGGATGCCATGCTTTATCAAGTGCCCACATCGGTGATGAATTGATTTTAGAATCACTTTTGTAATAGTGGTAGGATTGATAAGATTGATAAGATTGTTAGTTATTAATATAATTAATTATAATAAAGATGATGATTATTATAACATACCAATATGCACATATATTTGTATTATCCATTTCTGATATCAAATCATTCAACAACTTGTCGACTCCGCTTGAAGCACTTGAAGCACTTGAAACGCTTGAACCATTCATTTTACCATTACCACGATGATGGTTATTATTATTATTATTATTATTATTATTATTATTATTATTAGATTGATATCCGTCTAATATTTAATTTTAATATTTAATTTATTATGAAGAAAACCATATAATAATAATAGTAATAATAATATAATAACTTACTTTGATTGTCTGGTGCATTTTTACGAGATATTTGTGGTTGTCTATCATAAGGAGAGTCGTAACCATTAGGTTTACCATTATTGGACCTATCATAATTTCCAGGTGATCGATCACGCACCCTTAATTCATTTGTAGTACGCGGATAATCTCTGCCATCATAGCTATAATTGTCATTTGAATTAGAAGATGAGGAGGAGGTGGTAGAAGGATACCTGTTGTTATTAATATTATTGTTTTGTCTATTGTCATAACTATCAAATTGTTTTGGTGTTTGCGTCTGGTAACTATCATTATCATAAACTTGTGCATAAGGAGGATCTCTTGATGTTTGAGTATTGTAAGGATCTTGACTATATGTATTACCATTAGAATAATTGTTGTTATGATAACTATTTTGATTATTTTCAATGGGAGATATTGATGATTTATTATTATTATTACTACCATTACTATCAATTCTGGGTGATGGACTTGTTTTACCCTTGGCTGCGGCATATTTATTTAAAAATGTACTAGAGGTAGGAGTTGATGGTTGCAGTGGGGCATAATTATTATTATTACTTTGCTTCTGTGGAGCATAATTATTACTATTACTTGAATATCCAGAATCTGATGAAAGTGGCGCATCATAAAATGGACGTGGTGAACGTGGTGAACGATTTGAACGGGTTGAAATATTATTATCTAAACATTGGATAAATAAAATATGAATTGAAAGATATATGTACATAAATGTATATATTAGCTCTAAATATTTTTAAATTCCATTATTTAACTTTATAATAATAAAATAAAAATTTCTGCTTAAAAAAAAATACACTTTTTGCAAACAATTATTACCAGAGACAGATAATGGGCTAAGATTTGGTCGTTGATTATTATTATTTTGTATTGGTGTATTATATGACCTTGGATCTTTAAATACAGTATATATAATATATATATATGAATTATATACAATTTACAAATATACGTATAAGAAATTGTTGTCTTTCTCGTCTTCCAATAATGAACAGTTATGATAGAAAAATTCTATGATTAATAACAATAATAACATTTATTTATTATATACCTTGTTTTAATGGTTTTCTATATTGGCTGGGCATTTCAGGCATGGCTGGTGCTTCTTCACAAATATGCTCGGCAAGTCTTCTCAACTCTACAGTTATTCCACAGTTACTACATTTAATTGTAGGTAATAATTGACTGATGCGAGGTGTTTCCATTATTATTTTTTTGAGAATAATTATGATATAATAAATAATAATATGTCTAATAAAGAATGAATTATTATATACTTTTGGATGTGCGTGTATGTGTATATGTATATGTATTATTTAATTTGAGCACTGTTTGTTGATGTTAATAAAAATTAATAATGAATGAAAGGTTTTTATTTTTTTTTTTTTTTAAAGTAAAAAAAAGAATTGAATTATATATTTCTTTTTCCTATATTGGGACTTGAAAAATTTTTTGGGTAACACTAACCCCTAGAGGTATTTGCCTAATTTCAAAAAAATTTACAACTTTAGTTTCACTAAAAATTGGTTAACTAATTAGTTTCGTGTAACGAAAATTATTTTATATGAAATGCTTGACCAAAATTGTTTTTTTTGGATATTTAATAAAAATTAATTTATTATTCATGAAGATGAAGACTTTACAAACAAAACAATCGATGTATTTTATTGTAATAGTAACACAACAAATTTAATTTTAAATTTTCTTTAGAACGTAATTTTAGAGTTTATGGCAATGCAAAACACCTATAACGATCAACAATTAATTTTTTGATATAAAAATTTTGATTTAAAAAAGTTTGTAATTCTATATTGCTCCACGAGGAATGTAAAGATTGATGATCTTTCTTTTCGATAAAGAAAATTATAGAAAAATTTTCATAAATTTCGGACATTGATTGTTATAGATGGATGTCCTCACCGTAATAATAGTAATAGTAATAGATAGTTTAAATTGCCAAATTAAGATATACAGAAAAGTTTGCATGGATTGATTTTTGAATTGAATGTGTGACGTTTTCTGATGTATGATGTGTATAGACGATCTGCGTGGTATATTTGTAACAAAAATATTGGATATAATGATCATAATCATAAATGACTGATAATTTGTCGTTAAGTCTTTCCCTCTTCTTTTTTTCTTTCTTCCTATAACTAAATATAATAATTCCGAAACATTATCAATATTAAAAATTTTGATTGGACACAAAATTCTAATGGCTAATTTTTCACGCATGCGAATTTAAATTCAAATTCACGCGCAACCATCAAGTTTCGGCAATAGTTTCGGCAAAATAAAAAATTTAGTTTCGGCCTTCATGTAGGTAAAATGCCGAAACTAAATCTATATAGCGGACATTTACATAATTGGTATCATATTTTTGATTTTATCACGGGAAAATTTTTTTGTTACACGTAAATTTATAAATACGCACATTCAAATAATAAAATACTTGCTTTTATTTTTTACATAAAAAAAATCTTTTTCCTTTCTTTATTAAAGATAAAGATATTATCTGTCCTTAAACTTAATCAAGATTGTTGAAAAGAAATCATTTTTTATGTTATAAAAAATTCTTGGAGAGAATCATCTATTATATATTTCTTTTTCCTATATTGGGACTTGAAAAATTTTTTGGGTAACACTAACCCCTAGAGGTATTTGCCTAATTTCAAAAAAATTTACAACTTTAGTTTCACTAAAAATTGGTTAACTAATTAGTTTCGTGTAACGAAAATTATTTTATATGAAATGCTTGACCAAAATTGTTTTTTTTGGATATTTAATAAAAATTAATTTATTATTCATGAAGATGAAGACTTTACAAACAAAACAATCGATGTATTTTATTGTAATAGTAACACAACAAATTTAATTTTAAATTTTCTTTAGAACGTAATTTTAGAGTTTATGGCAATGCAAAACACCTATAACGATCAACAATTAATTTTTTGATATAAAAATTTTGATTTAAAAAAGTTTGTAATTCTATATTGCTCCACGAGGAATGTAAAGATTGATGATCTTTCTTTTCGATAAAGAAAATTATAGAAAAATTTTCATAAATTTCGGACATTGATTGTTATAGATGGATGTCCTCACCGTAATAATAGTAATAGTAATAGATAGTTTAAATTGCCAAATTAAGATATACAGAAAAGTTTGCATGGATTGATTTTTGAATTGAATGTGTGACGTTTTCTGATGTATGATGTGTATAGACGATCTGCGTGGTATATTTGTAACAAAAATATTGGATATAATGATCATAATCATAAATGACTGATAATTTGTCGTTAAGTCTTTCCCTCTTCTTTTTTTCTTTCTTCCTATAACTAAATATAATAATTCCGAAACATTATCAATATTAAAAATTTTGATTGGACACAAAATTCTAATGGCTAATTTTTCACGCATGCGAATTTAAATTCAAATTCACGCGCAACCATCAAGTTTCGGCAATAGTTTCGGCAAAATAAAAAATTTAGTTTCGGCCTTCATGTAGGTAAAATGCCGAAACTAAATCTATATAGCGGACATTTACATAATTGGTATCATATTTTTGATTTTATCACGGGAAAATTTTTTTGTTACACGTAAATTTATAAATACGCACATTCAAATAATAAAATACTTGCTTTTATTTTTTACATAAAAAAAATCTTTTTCCTTTCTTTATTAAAGATAAAGATATTATCTGTCCTTAAACTTAATCAAGATTGTTGAAAAGAAATCATTTTTTATGTTATAAAAAATTCTTGGAGAGAATCATCTAGAAATTACAAAAATGAAGGCATGATAAGTATCTTCCTAAATATATTATCAATAAAGCTAAGCAGATGCATTCTTTGGTAATTCCTAATCTATTCATTATTTGCTTTGTGGGAATAATAAGAGTGTTTACATAGCTAATGAAGATTTTCAGATTTTGAAATCATAGACCTAAATTAAGAAGATAATGATCCAGGATATGGTATTCAACTAGTACACTACCCTCCAAAAAGTATCCAGATGAGATTTTTTTAATAATTACACAAAATGCAACATAACAAAAGTACATAAAATTTATATCACTATATAGCCTAGGTTTTGGTGAATCTATGTAGAAAATCTCATTCTTTTATCATTCTTTTATGTTTTTTAGTTAAAATATAAGTACAATCAAATTTTTTTTTTATTTTATAATGACGATCATTTGGGGCATGCTCATTAGTGCTGATCCATTTATTTTAACATATATGGGACGTTTCACAGCAAAAACCACCTCTGGGGTCATCTGACCAAAATTGAGCTTTTTACATAATATTAATC